AGGAGACTAACAACATCAGTATACATGCAAAAAGTGGAAAACCATGAATTTAATTAAAAAAACAACCTGTACATCTCCAATTTGAAGCTCTGCCTTAAAATTAATCTACCAACAAAAAACAGGAATTATTTCTTCACCACCGTCTCGCATCATTTTCTTGAGAAGATTTTGTATCACCATGGGATAATTTAAAATTAGTACTGCTTATTATAAGCTTAATTAAAAATAGAACAATCTCAACAAAGCAATCTGAACCATATGATTTGGTAGTAGACTTCCTCGTGTGTGGGAAGAATTCATTTCTCTCTTGCTATAAAAATATACCATATCAAACAGAAGGGTCCATGACCACTCTTCCTGTCTTCACCTGTCATCCATGAGCCAAACAAGCATATAAGTGAATCCCAGAGGTCAGCAATCAGCATCACCTCCCTAAGCGGGAGACAGCATATTCCACAGATCTTCAACTTCATGGAAAATAAATTCAAAACACTGTTTTCACCACCAGTTTACGCCTAGTTCACCAATTCAGGAGAATACCCCTCTTCCCCAAGTTATCCATGGTAAGGACATCATTCAAAGTTAAAAAATAGACAAAAGGGCAAATCACCGAGAAAATCTGAATTCCAAAGTGTGTTCCAAAAACTTTCTGCCCACTTGAGATTCAAATTCTGAAAATACCCAGAAAATGTGCTCCCAAATAGCTAATGACTCCTCAAACAGAAAATCTAGGAGCTTATCATCTTTCTTGGGTGTCATTGTAACCCCAGGTTTATCTCTAAACCACACACCATAAAAGTCTAACCCTTCTGCCATCCCCAACAAGGAATTAAACATACAGTCTGTATTCACACTCCAATCACATGGTACCCTCCCAAAATTCTTCCTCAATGTTCTTCAACAAGCAGTGGACCTCACACATGCAAACAGAAATCAAAAAAAAAAAAAAAGATTTGAGTTCCAAATAATTTCGTGCTCATTAATGATCACTAACATCTTATAGGAGGACATTATATTTTGATACATTTCAACATTAGATGTGTGCACATACTCGTAAGCTAATTGCTTCCCACAAGAAGTAGGAATGAGAAGAGTGATGGATGACACACCGCATGCCACTTAATTTAACAAGCAACCCTGTAAGATGTTAAATCAAAGAGTAAACAAGAACTCTAAAGCAGGCAAACCGTGTTAGTTTGCACTCTTAATTGATTAGAAAGATGCATACTTATATGGGACAGCATCAAATTTTATAGATTTGCTGGTGCAAGAGACGAAATTAAACAATGCTAGACTAGACTAACCATAGAATGTACATATTGAAACAAATAAAAGCACTGAGTAAATTCAATATTTACTTCGGCTTCAGAACGCGCTAGCGCTATCAAAGGTGCAACTCCTCCTTCCGTCCAATAGCAATACTAAAAGGGACACAGCAAAATGGATATTAGTAAGAATTGGAGGAAAATTCACTCGTTAGAAATTCTTTTACTGTAGATAAGAATGTATAATACACTAAGATCACATAGAATGAAGAATTTTTCACATAAAATCAGCCAAGCAGCAATGAAGCATCTAAATTTAAATTTGATAAATCAATAACTAATGACAATAGAACCTTGTTGTTTCAACGAGGATGGACAGATGAAGGGGACAAATTTATGCTCTTAAATTCCTATGGTAATTAAGGTCACCAGTTAAAAATTCAGCATTTTATAGCACAGTATGCATTTACATAAAGTTGACTGTATAAACAAATTTGTTAGAGATAACAAAAACTATAGTCACAAGATCAATATTAACATAATTGCAAAATGAACAACAATAATGCTAAGGTCACACTGGTGATTTCTATATTGTACTAACCAATTATAACGACCATAAGCTTTTTAAACCTACCTATTTGCTTCTGAAACTGACAATCCCCACAAAGCGCAGCAGCCCTCTCCTGAAGACTGGACTGGCATCTGAACAGGATTGTGCAAGAGCAGAGAACCTGTGACAATAAGAGAATGATGCTTCAGCAGAGCATATAAGCAACCAACATAAGGAAAAAAGTAACAATTCATTAGTTTTTAACCTCACCTGCTACATTTAAACAAGAAAACAAAAGCATACCTACTGCTTTTTTAACATAAGTCCATATTTCATAAAAATAGAAGATAGCCATAGTAAATTCTGATGAAAAGATGATGAACATCTTAAAAGAGGACTGTAAAGTGGAATAAAGAAGGCTGATTCCTAATAGTCATTCATATAACTCATGGGCTGATTCCCAACCTAATAGTCATTCATATAACTCAATATTTTTCCAGAGAAATGTGTAGGCAAAACAACAGTTATATGACCGGGAAAGCACATTGAACTTGTGACAATCTATCAAAATAATCCAAACACAAATATTAGGAGTATTGTGCATGTCACAATCAAAGAAAATGAATGAATCATCATGAAGCAATAATTCAGTTTGACAGACTGCTTTCATTTGGATGAAAGAGAACAACAGATGGTGTCCAAAATAGTACACAAATTTTATGTGTGCACATATATGTGAATGCAAGTTTAATGAATAAAGACAAGAGAGTAGAAGCCAGCACTTACTACTTTCCATTTTTATAACAAATGTAACTTTAGAATTGCTTTGTGTTTCATTTTACATTATTATTACATTGATGATAAGCTGCAAGATGGGGAGGTAGACCGCTCCCATTATAAAATCATTATGTACAGACAAAAGAAGGAAATCTTCTAAGGCATCTGATGCACATACTAAAAGACTGAAGAACATCTACTGAGAACTCAACCCCTACTCTACAAATTTAAGCAAAAGGATAGTTATGAGTTGCTTTGCATTTTATATTCCACCATTAGACCGTGAATAGTGGGGACTTCATAGGAAGATAGACCTCTCTCAGCTGATAAAACCCTCAAAGTTGGATGAAGGCCAGCTTGATCTTAGTCTTAGGCATCTGATATTAATACCAACATAACTTCTGCATGAACTAGTTTATGACTTTATATAGAATGTGGGTCTTTCCAAAGGCTGTCAGATTACAAGAAATTAGGCCTACTTTGTTAGTCTGAATCAGATATAGCAAAGGAATATAGAACCAAATATAGAAAAAAAATGTGCATGCAGGTGTGTATGCATTAGACATTCATAAAGGTACAAGGGTTTCAATTAATTCCAAATTTGACTTGGTGGGTTAAGGACATATCATTCTAGGGCTACCTTAAATTTAAAGAATAAGAAATTAACAATTTTTGATACTAAGGGATCTCCCTCTTTTTTATGCATCTTTGTAATAACAGCATATTACCAGCAACAGGAAACTTTCTCAACTCTATCATAGATAACAGTAATTTCTAAGATTCTTTTGGAAGGAGGACAGAGGAAGTGAAGAGCAACATATATCCCAAATGGTCCCTCCAATAATAATATTTTGCACAAAGCTTCCAATATTACATATACTACTAATTCCTTGATTGTGTTGAAACAACTTCATGCAAGAGGAGAACAGAAATGTTGGCAGTAATCAAAGAAAAGGACAGATCCATAGCAGTAAGTTTTGCAACTAATCGATTTAGGTTCTACGAATCTATGTCGGCAGCTCATTAATATAATGCATCTTTCATACACGAGAACAGAATAATACATTTAAGCGAATCATCCCTGAAAGAAAGCAAACTAAAAATATAAAACACCTTATTGGTGGAACACAGGCAAATAATGTCCAAATGCTGGGGAGATTATTAAATTTCTTAGTCACCATCTTATAGCTTTTAATTTCCCTTTATCCCTTCTCTCTTGTGGTCTTTCCATACCAAGAATCATATAATGCCACACATTTTAGAGATACATCTTGCCAATCACCATGACCATGCAGGAATCTTTAACATAAGTAATATCCAAAATTATTGGCAAAAGAGCTCACATCCTGAATATGTTATATTTTCGAATATATGTATCTTTCATTTTCTGAGCAGATAAAATCTATTCATTATATAAACACACATTATAAGTATTGCCAATAAAAACAATTGATGCATGATACATATATAATAGGAAACTAATTCTTATCTTTTTATCATTTAGTTATATAAAATAGTGCTCACAGAAAAGCATATCATATTTTTATGCATAAAATACGGTTTCAAATTGCTGTTCCCAACATTTTCAAGATTTCCTGTCCCACATATCCACATAAAGCCGAAGACAATAAGCCATCTCTATGCCCATGCTTTTTAAAAAACAAACTTCAAATAATTCAAAAGGCAACATAGAATGTCAAAGATGTTTCACATTTAAGAGTAGCACAAGACAAGCCATTTAGCATGTAAATGAATATCATAACCTCTAAAAGAAGTAATCAGTTCCTGCAAACTTGATAGGAGCGCACTTAATTCTAGAAAGTGCACCAGTAGCTTAAAGCATGATGGATAGAAATGGTTGGCACAAAAAGATGAAGAACGTACCAAAGCTTCAACCCCACCAGCTGCTGCAATTGCTTCTGGATTCCTATCATCAAATGACAAATTCCACAATGCTCCTGCAGCCTCTTGCCTGTTTGGAGCAAAGGACAAACAATGCCAGTAAGCCAAGATGCATGTCAAAAGAAAAAATCAACAACTTCACCCAAATAAGTATACGTGCCAAACAAATAGCCATAATGTTTACTTGAGGAGGTATATAGTGTTCAAACTGTGACATATAATTCAAATGAAAAGAAAGAATTGATTTAGACATTCTTTTTGGAGTCACTGGGAAATTTAAATGATTGAGCAGAATATATAACAATAGGTATAAGAAAAGATAGCGCCAGATTAGTTATTTTTAAGACCAATCCCAACTCCTGAGAGAACAGAAAATTAAGTCATCTAAAAAATGTTATTTCTGGACAATTTAAAAAGACAATCACCCTAACATAGTCTCCTTTCATGTATTGGAGGATGGCTTTCTTGCATTCCATTCTTCTCAGTCAAGGTTCATATTGAGCTCAATCAATTAACTCTGTTCCTAACCATTTTTGAGGTGGCCTAAAAGTATCCTATTTAGCCATTCTTCTCAGTAAATCAAACACTAAGAAATTTTTTCCTATTTCCAGCCAAATCAAGCACAACCTTGGTCAGGTGGAGGTAACATAGAAGACGTATATATTTACAAGGACATCCCATGCACTTACTGTGCTATGGAAGACAAATTTGAGAGAGAGAGAGAGAGAGAGAGTAGAAGCATTATTAATTGCAAGGGAATTATTTCCAGAAAAGAGACATGATTCAAGAATGAGCCCCATTCCATCAGCAAAATAACATCCAGGAACTCTTTATGATATAACATGGTGAATTTGCATGAATGTTCCACAAAACAAGTCTATTAAATATCATGTGGGCACCTGGCCAAGGCTTCCAATGTTTGAAATGAAACCTAATCCCAAGAAATTCTCTAATTGGAAAACTTACTTCCTACACAAAAATTTAAATCCACCCAAAAAAAAAAAGTATAATAACAAAACCGAATAAAGAGAATTAATCTAGGTATTAATATACTTGGAAAGCAGGTGTTGTGACAACTGAGTAGCATTTGATGTAATATGTATATAATTAAAAGCAACCAGCTAACTAACTTTTTTCCCTTGTCTCACTATTTTTATTTTTTTTCTACTTATATTGTCCATGTCATTGGTGGTTCTGATAATAGTATGCCACTATTCTCCATTTTTAATATCAAGCGAACTAAATCAGCAAAAAAAGCTAGAAGGGAAGTACATTGCAACACTAAATGAACATATCCCAGGCATGTAAAGTCCCCTCAAAGACATGGCTCATCACTTTCTTTCCTTTTTAAACTAGATTGATCACTGCACGCCATTATCACAAATACTTGTACCATCTCAAGCAGTATGTATTTTGCTTCAATCTGCCTTGATGAAGAGCAGGAAGCCAAATAAATTTCAAAATGAAATGAATCCAACAGAAGTTACAGCAGCTGAAACAAGTTATACAAAACCAGATTCTAGTTTCAGTACCTGACACCTTCTTGAGGAGATCGAACAAGTTGGACAAGTGCTTCAAGAGCCCCTGCCTCTTGTCCAACAGCAGCATTGTTATTATTGGTATCTCCATGAGCTGCCAAATTAGCTAAGGCCCGAGCAGCCTGAAAAATACAGAACGGACATTTATAAGAAGTCCAGGGATAAGAAGCATATGCTGCATGTAGAAGATTTGCATATATGAATTGAATCAAACCCCAATAAACAACAGTTTAAACTTTACAGGGCCAAATAAATATGAAAATAAATGTAAAAGTACCACGAGTAGACAACAACTAGATATCATTTTCACGCATTCAAATTAGATACCCATGATACAAAACAATTATTAGGAAATGCAAGAGCAGGGTAAAGGGTCTTGCCAAGGACAAAGAAGCCAGTTCCTATATAGGGAAACAATTAAGATTATATTAAGTCTCAGCAATATAGAGAATGCATGCTAAGGCAAAATAGACAAAATTTATGCTTTTATACAGGTAAATGCAGGAGAACATCATAATCCCAACACTATTTTCAAGAAATCATATGCTTGTGTAAAACAACAAATTAAAGTCCAATGGTCCAGAAACCATAGCACTAACCATTAGACATTTGCATTTTCTGCATGTCATTAAGCCCTAAGTTTTCACTTGTATTCACTTGTTTCTAACCATGTTCACTAGACATGGAAGTTGTAGACAAGCAAATCACTAAGCATTTTGACAATATTAGACACCAGCATACCTGCTCCAGCACTCCCTCAGACTTGGAAGTCCGAGCTAGCATCACCAGAGCACGAACTCCACCTACTGCAACAACCTCCATGCTACATTTGTCATCAGCAGCTAAATTTGCCAGTGCACCAGCTGCACGTTCCTGAAATCAGAAAATAGAAATTAGGTCTATTGACGCAGTGGCAACTCAGTTTGCACATAAAGCAAGGATTATATGGAAATTTGAACATGCAAGATGATGTGTGTGCATGTGTGCAGCAAGGCTTGCACGTACCAGAACTCCATCACCTCCGACAGACCATTTAAAAATAAGATTAACTAAGGCTTCTATACCACCAGCCTCAGCAATGGCAACCTTATGCTCTTCCCCAACAGAGAGATTCCATAGTCCTCCAGCAGCCTCTTCAGCCACCAGCTTATTCCTGGACCTAGCCAAATTTGCAAGAGTAATGATTCCTCCTTCTGCTGCAACCGCTTTTGCAACATTGACATTGACGGACAAGTTTGCTATGGCCTACACATCCCAAAATATATAAAACAAAATAAATTTCTTCCATTGAAAGCAAAGATTAAGGTTGAACTGAAATAATAATGCTAGAAGAGTAAATATCTTAGAAGATTTAAAAACAGTGTAACACACTATACTAATAGATTACCATTAGGTTAATAATCCAACCAGTTATTATTAATTATTGATGGAAGGATATTACTTTACTAAGAAGATTACAAAATGCAACACACAAGTTATGATCACTATCAATATATTTCCCTATAATTATTACCTTTGCTGCTTCTGACTGAAGGCTCTCACACCAAGATTGTGAGAGCTTTAGTAGAAGATGTACCCCACCATCCCGCATGACTGCTTCAGCCCTTCCACCATCAACGCTAGCATTTTCCTCATCAACGACAATAAAAGTTGCTAGTCCAGTAGCTGCCCTTTCCTGAACATCCTCGTCAGAACTTTGCACTAAACTGAGCAGCAGTGCTGCACCTTGACTAAGCCAGAACTTGTCAAAACCTGGTGAATTGCTCTCAGCCATACGAAGAAGCGAATGTGAGAGGATCCATTCCATCCAAGTCATGATTTTATCCAAGTTCTTATCTCTTTTCTTTGAAGTTCTCCAATCAGAAAACACATTCCTTTCTTTCTTTGTAGTGTCAGCAAATAGAAAAGCTAACCCTTTGAAAATGTCAGTAAAAGAAGCAACTATCAATTTACCTTTAGTATTACCAGTGACCAAGCTGGTATTTTGCTCAAGCCCATGGCAATTCAGTGCACACAACACCTTCAAGCTATTTAATGATGATACCAATCTTGAAACAGCAACAGGTGAAATATCAGTTCTTGAAACATCTAAACCTGTCAGGTTAGGCAGTTTACTCCACATCTGCATAACCAAACCCCAATTCATATTAGTAGTTCCCGCCACAGAGAGGAACCGTACCGATAAAATATTCCCTAAAGCTATCTCATCAACATTATGGCAATCTATGAACCCGATTTCTGTCAAATTTGGACAATGTGTGGCCAAAGCATTTAATGCATCCCCATCAATGCTTTCAATGCCTGAAAGCCTTAACTTTCTTAGTTTAGGACAGCAAATAGCCATTGCTTTGATTGCATCACTGCTGATCCTTTCACAGAAATCAGGGCCAAGTTGGAGGCTCTCAAGTGCCTCATGTCTAGCTGCAATCACAGAAAGGGTAGCATCTGTAATTTTCCGGCAGTTTTCACCACTGATTTCATGCAGACCCCCAGCTTTAAGATTTATTATAGCCTCAGCTGATTCTACTCCATCAAACTGCAGTTTCTGAAGATTTGCACATCGAGAGGCAAGCAAAGCTGCTGTTGCAGCATCAAGCTTGTGACCACGAAGATCCAAAGATTGCCACAAGAATGGAGATCTACTTAAAGTCCTCCATGCCTTGCAGGTTGATGATAAGCTAGCACGGTCACGATAATTCAAACATGAAAAAAGTTGAATCACTGTATCATTAGGCAATCTAACCCAATCTACTGCCTGTTTTAAACTCAAATCTACAACCTCACTCTCAGCTTCTGTATAACTTGGCAAATCCACCTTATCTTTCCCCTTGCTTCCCACCTTCCTTCGAACCCTCCTACTCATATTTCAATCAATACAAATGCCCAAAAAGTAAAAAACTTAATCCTTGAACGCTCAGATAAAAGAAATTTTGAAGCTGATCGAAGAACAGATAGAAACCTAGAACCCAGCAACCTCTAACCTCAGAACCCCAATTCCTAAGCCATCAATGAATGAAACAAACAACTTCTTAAGTACCCTCCACCCTCAAAGACCCAAATGCATAAAACAATGGCGCAACACAGAGAGGTACCAGAACAAAGTTATCAATTCTGCCTAAAGAGTTGCACCTTTGAAATACTGATGGAATGGACAAGCATATGAAGTCGACCTCCCCTTAATCTCAAAAACTTCAATGAGGAATTAAGTGGTGGAAGATATCAGACCCAGAAACCAATGCGCTTTAACGTCAGGAACCCTAATTATCACTGCATAAACGAATTCATTGAAGTGAAGACCAGTCTATATGCATAGTACATTGAATTAAGGATTAAAAACATACAAAATTCCAAGCCAGCAGTAAGAAAACCACAAATAAAAGATGCGTTACAGCAAATGAAGTTCAATGATTCTGACAAACCTGAGCGCTTAAGCTTTGTTGGTTTGTGGGTGCTTGCATAAATCTCCTAGACTTCGCAATAAACTTATTGCCTTTTGAACATAATTGCATTAACGAAGTTTGAATGGAGCTTTAATGGCGAGAGAGAGAAACAAGGCTAAAGAGAATGCAAAACTGATTAAGAATCAAAACCAATTAAGGAGAGCATCAAATGAGTGAGAAAGCAAGGTTAATTAATCACTCACAATACTTGTCCATGCCTCTATCTCCCTCCTTAAATTTCCATTTCTCGAGTTTCAATGTAAGAATTCTAGCAATTATGGAGGGAGAGCAAGAAAGAGATCATGACTGTGAAAAGAAAACTGAAGAGGTGTTAAGATGATGAAATGGGGCTGAGGATTACAGGAGAGCGTATAGAAGCAATGGTGTGAGAAACCCAACTCCTGAAATTGATCTTGAAGGCGCACAAAAATCTTCTTTTTCATTTTCAGGCTGTGTGCGCCCATTTATATTGAACAGAGGAGCATAGCCATTAAATGTGTGCCTAATGCCTGGGCCATGTTCTAAACCTTCTAATAATGTTTATTATCATTTTTATAATAATAATAATAATACTTTTTACAATGGTAATAATAATAATAATACCTTTTGAGAAAAAAGGTAAGATTGATTACTCTTTTATGTAATTTACTAACTTGATAAGTTGGAATGTTTAAATAATTTAAAATGTTTAAAAAATCTAATTATTATAAAATCTTGAATAAATATTAATATCAAAATAAATGCTTACCTTATCTTAATAGGACAAAAAAAGAAGTATTTACAAATCATTCATTTTTATTAAAAAAAAGTATATAAATATGAAAAAAATTATTTCACGATTATTACATTAAAAGAAAATAATATTTCACACCATGATGACAGGTAATAAATTCAATTTACCTTAGGACTTGGTCTACCATGTTTATAGTAAATCATTATTAGTTTGAAAGCATAAATCATTAATATATTAATATATCAAAATGCATTTTATTTATATTTATATTTATAACAAAGATAAAAATAATATAAAAATTATTACATTTATCTTTTTGCTTAAATTATTACCAAACTTGTATAATTGGACATTTTATAACCTATTATATATTAAATTGGTTACGGAATAAGAAGGAAAGTTATTGAATGTCTCCTAGACCAGGTTATCCCCGTTAAAATTTATTACAAAATTACCACATTTAGAGTAAATTCCTAGTTAGTTAATTATTTTATTATAGGATTCCATAGAGGGAAAAAAATAAAAAATTAACAGTTAAAACGATGTAATTACAATTTAAAAATGAGTTAAAACTTGGTTATTTGGATAACTTTCACATATACATTTTGGGGTAGATGATAAATAAAAGAATAAGGATAAAGATGTATTTATATGCACATTTTATTCAACTTTTTATATAAGCGAAAACCTAATTCTTATTTTGTACAATTGATTAAGATTTTATCGAAATAAAGTAAAAAATTGCTTATTTATTTTGAGGAGTAAATAAGAAATTGAGCTCAAAAAAACAATTGAAAAAAGTAATTATATGAAAATTTTGGTTTTATTGTAAATTATTAAGGAACATTATTCATTTATCTTAGCAGCATTACCTATTCTACAAGAAAATTAAGGGATTTCACATAAAAAAATATAAATTACAATTTAATCAGGCAAAAGGGCAAAAAAAAAAATTAATGATTGATTGCCAACTAAATAATGGAGACAAGAATACTATATAAATAATCTTGTCAATTTTTTCAATTTGTTCATTTCAATATTTTTAAAATTCGAATGAAAAATTAAACTGATAAATTCATTGAGTTACAATTCAACTATTTTGAATGCGTAGTTAAATTGATTAAAAAATAATTTTAAAAATAAATAAATTTAGTAAAATATTATTCAATCACATAATTTAGTTTATACAAATTCAAAATATAAAATTTTTAAAAATTCTTTTAAATACTTTAGCTTATACTGATTTTAACAAACAAGTCAAAATCAAACAGCTATACTAGTTCTTGACTATTTTTTAACTTATTTAAATTGATTAAGTTTTTATTTTGACTAAATGATTTCATCTAAACTGTTTGTCTGACCAAATCAATCCAACTGGTCCTATATGAGTTTTAAATATTAGTTGATTCAACCTTGTGATTCTTTCTCTTAATTCATAAGAATTAAAAAAAAAAAAATTACATAACATAAAATCATAAATTTAAAATTATAATTAATTTAATCTCAATACTTCGTGCTCAAAACTCTAGCTGCATCTATCAAACTGGTTTTAGCAATGAATTTATAAAAATGTTTTACATTTTAAAATTTAGAACTTATTCCTTTTTTAGAAGAGGATCTGGTAGCTTGTTGTTATTATTAGTTTTTGCCCTAAATTACTCATTTGAAAACAGCTAAGATTATGAAAATTGACATTCCAATTCCGATAAGAAAAAGGAGAAGGGACTTGGGTGCTTTATCTTAATTACAAAATAGAAATGCTTAATTTTTTATGTTTTTATGGACAAATTTTATTTTTTTTAAATTGATATAATAATATAAGAAATTTAAATTATTTAAAATTTAGAAACAATGAAAGAAAATAACGTTCGAATAATCGCGACCAAGTAGCCAACGCAATTGCCGGGTGAGCTGTTAGTTTTAGAGGCCAAAATTTAGCTTCTACAACGGCCTAGTACAACTTCAACCGCAGCAAGGCATTGTACATTTTCTGGAAGAAGTCACTTTTGCTCTGACAATAGTCTTACCGTAACCCCCCTCTCCACTTCCGTAATCGCTTTCGTCATTACAAACCCGACAAAAACGCTTCTATTGGATCGGACATAGCAGCCGGACACTTACCATTGTGGAGAGAGAGAGAGAGAGAGAGGAGAGAGGAGAGAGAAATGTGGAACGAAAAGAGCGGTAGCAGAGATTACCAGTCTTCGTCTTCGTCCATCTCTCGTTCCTTCTTCTCGCACTTCTGCTCATCTGCTCTCAGGACCAAAGCCCTACCTTCTCCTTCGGAGGCCTCGGTCCGAGCGGTCAACGGCGATGGCCTTATTCGCCGTCTCGGCCTGTTTGACCTCATTCTCCTCGGCGTTGGCGCTTCGATCGGCGCCGGAATCTTCGTCGTCACCGGCACCGTAGCTCGCGATGCTGGTCCCGGTAAGTTCATGTTTGAGCCCAGATTGTTCAGAACTGTCAATTCGTTTTCTATGTTTATCGCTTGGCATCTGCCGAGCTAGGACGTGCTGCAATTAATGGGTTGGGTTCGTATTAATTAATCGTTTTACATAACAATCAGGTTACAGAGTTTGTGTTATTAACACGGTGTCAGTTCTGGTTGTTTGCTTCAGTTGAGTTGTGTTCTCGATTTACGCGTTCTCAATATTGACTAAAAAAAATATATATATATATATATATATTCTTCTATTTATTACTATTATTTATTGAAATGCATTCGATAGTTTAATGTGAAACCTTTTGAAATTTTGTTCAGTAATTTTCAGTTCTACTAAAATCTTGGCTTTGAATGCTGATTGTTCCTGTATGCTTAATTTGGAATTGATGTTTATCACTTATGATAAATCGAACTTGGTTAAGGTGCATGTACCAAAGCATTCGGTTCGTATTGACCAATAGTTGGGCTAACAATTATGTTATAACGTTTCAGTTTTTATAAACATTTTCTCAATTTTGTAAATATAACAGTTTAGCTGTGGTTTCTGTTCTCATGTTCTTAACTTTGCCCATAAACTTTCAGACTGATACATATCTATTTACTATTTGTTAACTTTGTTCGGTATGATGTACTGTTGAATGCGAATTTTTTGGTGTCCGTTCTTTTTCCCTGATGATAAACAACAGCACTTTTTTTGGTATTGCACCTATACTACCAGGCCATCTCTTAAAAAGTGCAGACTGGCTCCACATTTACGAGGCACATCTAATGTAGGTCATGTATATTCTTGCCATGTTCCAAAGATGTTGAATGCTGAGGGATAAAGAAGATCTAGTCTACTGCAATATGGCATGTTGGATATGTATTTTATATACTAGCAAGTGTCTCAGCATCCTTGTTCATCATTCATCATGTGCCGGGTACTGCTGCTGCATAATATTTGGTGTGTTGTTTGGGATGGAGAATCTATGATGGATACCTATAATTTTACTTTATTTTAGTAACCTGGGCATGGGTGCCTTGTAACATGTAGAGACCTATCCTAATACAAAATGGCAGGTTAGATATTTTGTTGTTTCCTTTCTATTTCAGTATCTTTATCTTTTGAAAAGTCTCCCAAATTGTCATATTTCTGCTTTGTTTTTATATATTGTGCAAAAGCGTTTATGCTTCACTTTGTGTGTGTGTGGATACTTTAACTTTTAAATGTGGCTGTGCTTTATAACTGTTACTTTCATGATAAAAGTAGAGACTAAATAGGGTGAGCCTTATATGTCAGTTTTGAACTTAAATGTAAGGTTTACCCAAATTTGTTAGGTAGTTTATGGTGATCTTACACAATTATTAATGCTTCAAATGCAGGAGTCATATTTAGTTTCATCCTTGCTGGAGCATCTTGTTTCCTCAATGCACTTTGCTATGCTGAGCTAGCTTCTCGTTTTCCTGCTGTTGTTGGGGGAGCATACTTATATACATACACAGCTTTCAATGAGCTTACTGCATTTCTAGTTTTTGCACAACTGATGATCGATTACCATATTGGTGCAGCTAGCATAGCAAGAAGCTTAGCGAGCTATGCAGTTGCAATACTAGAGCTGTTTCCCCTCTTCAAGGATAACATACCAAACTGGATTGGACATGGTACTGAGGATTTTTTGGGGGCCATATCTATTAATGTATTAGCCCCAATTCTCCTGGCACTTCTTACAATAGTTCTATGTCGGGGAGTTGGCGAATCTTCTGTTTTAAATTCTGTTATGACTATAACCAAGGTGATCATATTCTATATCATATATTTTTCTATGAGTTTTGAATAAAAGGATTTCAATTTCAATTGCAAGGATATGTTTCATCTTTAACACAAGTTCCAAACACTTTAAGAAAAGGGTGAAATGACACTTCTGCAAGTTGTAGTTTTATGGAATGAAGAGGTATTTCTAAATCAATTAAGTGACGAGCTTATGTGCACAAGGAGATTATGCTCTCATGCAAAAGAAAAATGGATTTCTTACTTTTTCATTGTTGGATATTTCTATATCAAATATGAATTAGTTAGGCAAAAGTGTAAGTTAATAATACCATTCAAAAGTTGGAAATGGAGAATAATCTATGGATTTGTTTCTTTAGCTTGTTCAGAAATTATCTCTAGTAGCTTTATTGAATACAAAATACAAAGAAACAAGACTCAGATTAACACTACAGACAATTATAGAAAACCCCAAGGGAGGAATCAAGCACCTATAGACTATGGAGTTGACTTGTTGAGTATTTCAAACTTGATATTGATTTTTCTCCAATCAAGAGAATATGGTAGGAATAGGAATCAAGCACCAATTATATATTTTCTTCTGACTGTAAATTTATTTGGTACTCTATATTTGTTTTTTTGGGATATGTTATATATACTATTAATTGAGGATTTATGCTTTCCATTGTAAAAACTGACCTCTCTCTTTTCCATATTTTGACCGTGATGGCTAAATAAACTCTTCACTGCATTCTAATTGGCCATTCTCATCAATAATGTAAAGTAATTGTGAATTCTATATCTGTTATGCCTTTTGGCTACTGACTCTAAAATCTGTTGCAGGTAGTCATTGTGCTGTTTGTTATACTTGTTGGGGCTTTTGAGGTTGATGTTTCAAATTGGTCTCCTTTTGCCCCAAATGGCTTTAAAGCTGTACTCACAGGAGCTACTGTAGTCTTTTTTGCGTATGTTGGATTTGATGCAGTTGCTAATTCAGCTGAGGAATCTAAGAGACCACAGGCAAGATTCAATCAGATGAATTTAATGTCCATGGCAGTTGTACATTATTTTAAGACTTAACATGGTTAATGTATCTGGAACTCTTTTTTCTTTTTGTCTATAATGTAAAATTGATATTTCAGAGGGACTTACCATTGGGGATCATGGGGAGCCTTCTCATTTGTGTTGCATTATATATTGCCGTTTGCCTAGTGATAACTGGAATGGTCCCCTACTTGTCCCTTGGGGAAGAAGCTCCTCTGGTTGAAGCTTTCATATCCAAGGGCTTGAAATATGTGTCCGTGCTAATCAGCATTGGTGCCGTTGCTGGCCTTACTACTACCCTTCTTGTTGGTCTCTATGTTCAGGTAAAGTGCAGCACATTTCCAGTTGTTTGGCATGCCTTCATCGCATAGATGGCCTGTTGAAGTGAAAGAAGTTTTCTGATTGACAGTCTCGGTTATACCTTGGGCTTGGAAGGGATGGTTTACTGCCTTCCATCTTTGCTAGGGTACACCCAGTACGCCACACTCCTGTGCAGTCACAAGTCTGGGTTGGTATTGTTGCCAGCGTGTTGGCAGGACTGTTCAATGTACATGTCCTCTCACACATTCTTTCTGTTGGTTCATTGGTATGTAGCTTCCAACTTCTGTCCCATTTGAGCTTGTAAATTTGTCTCTTTCGTTTCTAGGCAAACCAGTTTAAATCTTGTATCTGCATTTGTATGAAGTTCATGTAGATTACAAATAGCAACATTACACAGCCCTTGGTTTCATGTATGCCTCTTTGAAGGCTTTTTAAGATTTTATGTTCCTGTTGGAAGAATATGCATCTTGTTAATATATGGAATTAGGCTTATGCAACTTACATGATCATTTTTGTTTGTTTCAGACTGGCTATTCTGTCGTTGCAGCATGTGTGGTAACCCTTCGCTGGAAGGATAAGACTGCAAGTGAAGTTTCTAAGAATTGGACCTCAAACTGGAGGGAAGGTGTTCTTTGCTTAATCATAATTGCCTGTTGTGGTTTTGCTGCTGGAATCGTCTACCGTTACAGTTATTCATTTATTTTTCTGGTTGTGGCTGTTATTGTTGCAACCTTTGCTGCTGGTTCTCTTTATATCCGTCAAGTAAGTCCAATTCATTTCCATGCATATGGACATCTCATTAGCTACTGATAATTGGACTAGGCCTGTTCATGATTCATGAATTGGCTCAGACCAAAACTGAACTGCCGATTTCGGTCCTGGAAAAATACAAACCAGGATCAGAACTTTGAAGGCCGGTCTGGTTCTGGTTTCAGGCCTTCACGGTTTTTGTTCAGTTTATGGTTCTAATTCGTTATGGTTCTGATCCGGGCTGGGCCGGGCCGGTTCTCAGTTCTTGTTTGGTCCCGGTTCCAGTTCAGTTTGGGTTTCGATTTGGTCTTGATTCTGTTTAACTAAAAAAAATTTAAATATTAATTTATAAATATTTTTAAGTCATTAAAAATAGAATCCTAACAATAACCTTATGTTAAGAGATTGCCTTACTTTTTAATTTTTTTTTTTTGGTTACAATAAATGTAAAGGGAAAAACAAACCAAAATTTTATTTCATATAAAATATAAACTATATTTCAATCATTTATGTTTTTCTGAAATATTTTTACTTTTTTTTCATATGTTAAACAATTTTTTTTCATTTTGTATATGTTTTTCTTAAATTTGAAATTGTGTAGTGGAAAGATTTTGGTTTATTCAAGGTATTTATATTTAAATTGATGATATTTAAAAATATGAATTTTATATTTCTTTGTTAGTTGATGTGTCTAAAATAAATTTTATATCAAAATTAAGTCTTTTTTTATGTCTAAAAAATAGATTGTATGGATCTATATCTAAAAATTAAGTGAAAGTCTTTTTTTATATCTAAAATAAAAAAAATACAAAATTTCACAGTTCAATACTCACGGTTCTTCACTATGCCATTTCATGGTTCAATCCTTGTTCAACTCTCATAGTTTAATTTTGGTTCTGATTTGCTGGTTTAGGGACAATTCTGGTTTCAAAAATTAGAAATCTTAACTAGACAGCAAAGGTTCACAGTCTAGGCCAGGCTAGTTTAGGGTCCAAACCAGAATTGTGAACAGGGCTAAATTGGACTTCATTATAATACAAATCCAAAATCGTTTAAGTGGTGCAAATAGTTGATGCCAGAGTAAAGAACTGCAACTTTTTTTCCTTGTGTGGGGTGGGGGAGGGAGAAGATAGGCTCTAAAAATTTGCTTCACAGAGCAGCTCTGCTGCATTGTACCAATAATTATAAACCCACTTCAGAGTTAAAATTCACCAAAGGAATGTTGGCCTGAAAATAAAAAAATTATTTATTTACTCCTGTGGCGGTGGAGGGAATTAAGGGTTGTGAGATTGCTTTCTCTACTCAAATAGTACAAGAAAGATGGTACATTTCTGGACTACGATTTTTAACACATTCTGCTGGTTGCTTAAAAGATTTAAGACCTGATAGGCGATTTGGTTCCCGTTATCCTCTGTTTCTTTTGGGTAATCCTCATTTTTATATTCTTTTTTCACAGGTTTACGTGGATCCACCAGGTTTTTCTTGTCCATGGGTTCCAATTGTGCCAGCTATTTGCATCTTTTTCAACATTTTCTTGTTTGCTCAGGTTTGTCATGAAATACCCTCTTTTTAGATTTACTTTTGGAGACAGTGAAGATTATTAAAAGAAAAAAAAAAAAAAAAAAAAAAAAGGAGCTCATGAAAGAAAATACCAAGCTGACTCTTAACTTCCCTTTTGCAGTTACACTATGAAGCGTGGGTGAGATTTGTTGTCCTCAGCATTTTGATGGTTGGAATATATGCATTTTACGGGCAGTATCATGCCAATCCTGCAAGCTCAAATGAGACAATAATTTACCACAGAGTAACTGCAGAAGAAACTCACTAGACGAATAATCTCCCGACTCACCTGTTAATTGTAAGTTGTAACATTGATAGCACATGCTTTGTTATTGTGTCTGTTCTGCTTTTTCCCTGTAGTATGGGTCGTTTTCCAATATATTATTAGACATGGATATGCCTTTGCTGTCTTGGAATAGAAGTATGTACCTATGAGGAGCTGTTCAATTGTAAAGTTGTTCTTATTATATATATGTCCTTTTTTAATTATTATTTTGGGGGTGGAGAGGGACAAACGCACTACAAGAGGTATGAACTAGGGGTGTTCAAAGGTTCAGTTCGGTTCAGTTTTGGACTTTTTCCAAACTAAACCGAACACTTTGGTCATAAAGTTCTTTGGACATGATCGGTTTTGTGCCTTTAAAAAAACCAAACCAAACCAAACCAAACCGACCTAAGTTGGTTTGGCTCGGTTGACCTGATAGGTCCGGTTTGGTTTTGAACACCCTCTCTGCTCTGTTAAGAGTGCAGTTCGAAGTTGAGTGCTGGCCTCTCATTGCTTAACAGAAGAAAGAGGAGTTTACTGCTTTACCACATGATCCCACTGAATAACGAATGCAGGAAGAGGAAGCTGTTTAGCAGAATGGGAACAGAGCAGAAAACAGTTTTTCTATCCACTGCAAAGTCTGAAAATCAGATAAGAAGACTGTGTCGCAGATAGGAATAGCAGGTAGCAGCAACAGCAGAATGAGAGTAATTCAACTGAATTGGTTTGAGTTGCTAGCTCCTTCTATTTGTTTTGGTTTCTGTTTTGATTCCATTTAAAAAAAATTGACAGAGCAAAAAAAATTTTAAAAAAAAAATTATTGTCTACACTCCATTCTTGATTTTGTTTGTCTTCCATAGAAAGCTAAAATTACTTAGGATTAGGTTCACAAACACGCACACCCACACCCACACCCACACCCACCAAATCAATGAAAAATAAGTGATGACGAGGAAATAGGAAGAGAGTCTAACCTGTGCAAGGAGAAGAGAAGATCGGTCTGTCGAGGATGAGGAGAGGAGGTCTGTGACTGCACTGTCCGACAACCAACAGAATCCCGTCCGGCAACCAATAGAAAGTCATGGCTAACTCCCTCTTGAAATAGTCGTCGGTTCCCTCACTTTCTCTATCTGGGTTTGACAACTGAAGCAGGGAAAACAGATTGCAGAAAACAAAATGCAAAGCAAAGAACAGAGAACAGAAAAACAGAGAGAACAAGAGTAACGAGAACCTTCGGGCTTCCAAATTTTCTGTGTCAAGCTTTACACCCGTACTGAACTGATTTACAGGTTGCATCTCTGCAAGAAGGTGGCGTCTCTCTCTTGTACATTTGACATGCCATGCAAATGAGTGGCTAGCCGAAACAATTTAAATTGAAATATAATAAAATATAAGTAAGAGAGGACTTCGGCCAATCAAAGGCAAGTGACGAAAGGTCAACCTCCAAACGGGGAATTAATTTATGCCTCCAAATGTCACATTGCATTAAATGTATTTCTCTTTTCACATTCTTGCCTGGAGCTTCTCCCATGCAGTTCTGCAAGTCGATCAACTTTTTTTGGAACCACTAGTTCTGTGTAGTTCCGTCTTGCAAATCGATCAACCTTTTTTGAAACCACTGGTTCCGTGTAGTTTCGTCTGTATTGAACTTCGTTGGTTGCCAGTTGGCTCACGGCCCATGCGATTTTGGTTAACAATCTTTCAGGCCTGGGACATATATATATTAAGAAGACAATTGGTTCGATTTTACTTTGGCATAAAATTGAAAACCAAATCGAATCGATCGGCCTAAGAGTTTCTAAAATTGAATTAAATCAATTTTTTTTATTTTATTCAATTTTTAATCGATTTAATTTAATTTAAATCGATTCAATTAGTCCAATTCGATTTTAAACAATCCTAGTATGAACGGAGTGTGTAATGTTAGAAAGGTTATGATAGATAAAGACTAAGAACTTTAAGTTTAGCATTTAATCCTTGCTTGTTGTGGGGGTGTATTTCCTTTTTTTCACCCTGCATAACTACTAAAAAAAAGTTTCTCTACAAAACTATTTAATATGCGATTGTCTTGGTGGTTTATTAAAATGTTAAAAAAAAAACCACTTCTCTTTTAACTTAAGTAGACATAAAAATACAAAAAATGGGAATATTGCTGTCAAGAGTCATAACCACTACCTTATAGTTTGCTCTTCTGGTCGAAAACGCAAAACAATAAAAATAAAAAATAAAAATCTAAAGCATGAGCGGCTAGCTGGTGCCCAACTAATGTGTGTTTACTTAAGTATTTGCAAACATCATCATTACTACATCAGAACATAGTCTCATTATTCAATTGCATACAACATCAGAGTAAAAGCCAATGGTCCTCCTTTGGCAGTCTTTAATGCTTAGGAGTTCCACGTCGAAAACTTCAAATTGCTTTGAGCTGAAAAAGGTTGAAGGTCCAACCTGCAAAACATAAGATATTCTTGTCATTCAAACATTATGCAATTTGTTTAAGGGCACAGTTTTTGCATTCTAATCATGCTTGGAAGAGGTGAATAGATTTTAAGCTGAAATTGCCGCTACTGCAATCGTTTGACTTGGCAAGTAACGTGTTCTGCTGCAGAACATCAGTTCATAAACAGAGTTTGTCCATACCAAAGTGAACTTAGACCTACATTTTGAATTTTGACATGATCTCTTAGAAACTTCATCCGAAGAGCTTGATATATTCACTCAAGTGATGGAACAACAATTTTGTTAACTGTGAATGTAAGGTAACCACGTCCGGATAAAAAAAGATAATCACATATATGTGACACTCACGGGTGGGCCAAGCTCTGGAGGAATAATTATTCTTCTTTTTCCTCCAGGCCTCATGTCTCGAATTCCTTCTTCAAAGCCTGCAAAAAAGATCTCCAGTTTTAGCTAGCTCTCCCCATATTCATACCTAGCACTAGACGACGAATGTTATTGCTTTGATCACCTGGAACAAGTGCATTTGTGCCCATTCGGATGTTGGCAGGTCTACCTTGTAAGTATGTGCTGTCAATTCGGCGGCCGGACTCATTATAACCAATGTAGTGAAATGTCACCTGCGAAGAATAAATTTAATAGTGTAGCTTATGACTAACATACATAAGAATTAGAGACGCTTATTTTGAATCTTATAAAACTAGTGTTGCTTCATAGTTTTAGAAATTAGCAATGAAAAAGCCACTATTTTCTGCATTGGATGACAAGCTTTTGCGGTTGCATCAAGCAACAGGCTATGATGAACAGTTACAGAAATCTAAGCAGTCATTTCACTAAGTGATGAGCCAGGATGGTTACTTTACTTGTTGGGTTCGGCTTGATCAGGTGAAAATGGAATAATAAACTCTTGACAAAGATATCAATGCTCTTTTGGCAACACAAGGCAATTGTTGAGTAATTTCAGAGCATTCTTGAATGAGTTACAGGGTAACCTTAGAAGTAGAAAAACGAAATATAGAAAGAAAAAAACATATCTTTCACTCATTTACCTACTGCACAAGCATGCGGTCAAAGATTTGAAGTTATTTCGACAGAAGACAAAGACAGAGAAAAAGATAAGGGTGTATGGAAATTATAGATCTGGGGTGAACATCAGCTGAAACATTGTTTGGTCAAAGTGGCAGCGTTATTGTTCAGAGGTTGCTGCCTCAAGAACAAACATTCCTAGAAATCATCTTCTCAGGAAGATAGAGGTTCATTCCCATTAATCTTCACCCCAAGAAAACCAATATAAGCATTATTTTCAGCCCAAAAGTTGATTCAAACGAATTTAATTGCTCAGAGACTTGTAAGAAAGCAGCTCCTTTTGCAGAAAAATAGGAAACAGGTATTGAACTTGAGGGAACACATCAGTTATAAGCAACGAGAACATATTATTAGCTGATATATTAACGTTAATCTTTGATACACTTCTTTTTTTAAATTGTAAAAAATAAATTGAAGTTATCCATAATGGACCAACATGTCCACAAAGACGCCATGCAAGAAAATATAAAGCATTTAATTCCACCAGCTTTGAATGGTTAAAGGGGAGTATAATGTGAGAACTCGTGCAGTGTTTCAGAAGAGAAAACCATAAATTTCAAGCTTAAAATAAAAAGAATTAAATCAACAAAAGAAAAACCTGTTGACCAGCCTTTGGGCAATCACCTTTACCAACTTCGATATCCCGATATATGAGCCCTGTATCACTCGTCACATAGTTCTCTGATGTCAATACTATGACCTCAAAACCTGGTTTAGATCCCCAGACACACATGTCAAAATAATGCAGCATATTTTATAACATGTGCTTGTGACGAAGCACAAAGCACAAAAGATGTCTTCATGAGATGCATGTCATATTGTAAAAAATGGACATATAACATGTACTTAAGGGGAGGACATACCTTCCCGGACAAAATTTGGGAAGTCTTCAGGTGCATTATTTTCTTTCTGTATCCGCTTATTCTGTTCTAGCAAGCGTTTTTCGTCATAAGGGTTCTTCTTCTTTGTCTTTCCAAAAGAAGGCAAAGTTGGAAACAATCCTGATGAGAGCAACAGGAACAGAAGCGTCCGCCTCAAGTTCTCCTTACAATGAAAAATGTATCCATCCTGGTCTCTAGCCGTAAGCAAAATGCTTGATATAAGCAGCAAAATAGACATAATAAGGACTAATTAGATGTAAAATGTAAAAACTAATCAGTCCTACCTATTTAAGTTGCTCTTTGAGTAACAAAAGGTGCTAAGCTTCTTGGGATGAAAAGGAGAGAGAAGCCTGGGGGAAAGTTTTCTGTGACTTCTGTCTGCATGAGGTGAATACAGAGAAAAATGTGCTATTTATTTATCAAGCAGACATTGGAACATGTTCAACATATAAAGGAAAGTATTACAAGTGAGCAAAACAACAAATGGTATGGAAAACAATACTCGAAGAAAATTGGCAAAATGATATTTGAAATCAGTTCAAAGAAAAACAATGCTTCTGACAGAGAAAGCTTCACTGAAAATACACAGGCAAGTTAAAAGGGTTCAATAATAAATATGGCAAAATGACAAATAAACTTAATACAAAATCTACAAATAGAGGGAACCGAACAAAGCCTAGATCATATAGGTAAGATTGTTATTGACTATACAGTATAATCTGGAATAACCCAAAGTAAACATTTCCAGTACACATATCAAAACTTCAGAAATGAACCGCCTGGAGGAAAAAGTGTGTCCCCGTATCAAAATCCCAGAAATGAACTCGCAGAAGGAAAAAGTTTTAGTTGATTGGCAGTTGAAGATTCATTTGTAAAGTGGGAGTATAATAGTAACATGAAGATCACTTTCGAATTTAACCCTTTTTAGAAAATAAAAATACCCATCCTGACAAAGTTTTCCATTGGTACAAGTAAAAAGGGTTAAAATTTCATTAGCAAATGGTAAAATTAGTAGTTAAAAGGAAAACACTGAGTTAAGAAACCTCGACATTGCCATTTTCCAATTCAAATGTATAACCAATCATTTAAAAAAAAAAAAAAAACAAACACCTGGCAGGGGGTGGGCAAATTTGAAGACTTTAGAGCAATCCAGAACAAAGCTTGACGGGAGATATGGAAACAGTCAAAGTTAATTTCGCCTAACCAGTAATTATGAATTGAGAGACCATCAAGCGAGTAAGACGATAAGAAAAAGAAGAAAACATCACTATCTTTATTTAGTTCGTCTCGTCCTATAAATTGGAAAACGAATCTTTCTCAGCGTATCTTCGCCAATTACTCTCACATTCCATACATCCAAACCCAAACACCTAACTATACTTCCTCGCGATTCAGAAACCCAGCAGCAATTTATTGCTTCAAGTGAAGAAAAACGGGCGGCAGCCGGGCATGCGTGCGTGCGTGTGTGTGTGAGAGAGAGAGAGAGAGAGAGAGAGAGACTTACATGGAGACGGAGAGAATGGTATCGGTAGAAGAGAAGAGGCGGAAGAGAGACTCAAGGAGAACATGATAGCTATGTATGGCAACGTTTTCAGCTGTTCGTTCAGCCAGGGGAGAAAAACAGCCGTTCATCGCCCGATCACTTATCTTAACACTCGCCGTCGCCACGTTGTTAGAAGCCTAGTGTTTTGGTGAGTTAAATGCAGGAATGGCCCTTGAACTTATATAAAAAGTCAATGTGGCCCCCGAACTCATAAAGTAGTCAATTAAGCCCCTGTACTCTTTCAAACAGAGGTAACTAGATCCACAAGTTGACGCCACTGAAGGTGATACTAAGGTGGCCGCTTAACACTTTGTTTGGCCCTCGTGACAATCACGTGTCCTGAAATCCCCTTACTAGATCATTAGGTAATTCAACTCATGAACGGTTATTAAATAGATTAAGAATAGTTATGCTCCTCATTAAATAAATTAGGAGTGATATTGAATAATTATGATATTAATTTTTTTGAAGATAATAGCTTTGCGTGCGTGCGTGCGTGTGCGTGTGTGTGTTTTTGGGTTTCCATGAAACAAAATGTTGGATTAGAATGGTCAAAAATAAATTTTCCCCTAAATTCTAGAGGCCCAATTTAATTTTTAAAGGTGATAATTTAAAATTTTTTAAGTAGGCCCATATTATTACTCACGTCAAGTTAAGGCATCTAAAAACTTCACAATAATTAGTTAATGGAAAATAATTATTCACACTAGAAATGAAATAAATCACAGCGTGTCATCTAAATTTCGCCAAACAAATTTGTCAATAATATATCAAAGAACCATAAATTATGCGCTGTAGGAGCCAACAAGATCTTACTTGGTAACAAACAAACCTTGAAATATAAACGATATGCCATAATAGCGTCTGCTACTTCAAGCATTCATGCTGAGAGAGAGAGAGAGAGAGAGAGAACTTAGTTCTTTCATAGAAACAGCATACTTTCGTAACCCACCAAAAAAAATAAAAAAAATAAAAAAAGGAAAAGCAGCAGCATACTTTCACGGATTCAAAGTAGCCTTGCATTACCCTTTTCAATCACAACTCATCAATGCTTCACAATTGGATTCCCTCACGTAACATGAACTATGTCCTCCGATATACAATTTCGCATCTGGGATTTCAACATCTCGTACCTCTTGCACAAAAGTAAACAGCTCCACTTCAACTACGTCCTCGTCTCAGAACCTCTCAGCATGGAAAGCCAGCGAAAACACTGCAGATCCCCCATACCTCAAAACTCCCAGGTGAAAAGACAAACAATAAAAGGAAAAAAACCGAGACCCAATCTGTTATAACATAATTGGTGTGCTTTTACTAATTAAAACAAAAATTTGAGACTTAGTTTAGTCTTCCACGATCCAAAAAACCACTTCAACAAACTCGAATATCTAGACCAACATTTCCCAGCTGCTCAGCAGTGACAGAATCTCCAAGATTCTTTCTTGACAGTTTCTGGCCACGTCGACGTGGCCACAAAAATGAAAACCTGGCAACAGCAGCTTGACGGGCAAACTGAACCTTACAAACCAAGCTCAGCTCTGTTAGTGGCTTGTTACCCACTAGGTCCACATCACAGCTTCCATCATACCCATCAAGGTCTGACTCAGTCACTACCACTACAGAGGCATCATCAAAAGCTGCCATGTCATGTTTTTCTGGGAAGTGAATAATTTCCCTCTTGGAGGCCATCATGCAGGCGTTTCCAGGTTTCATCTTGCGGAAATAGTAGTTTTGAACAGCCTGCAAAGCCATAATTTAAACCATGAGCTAGCTAAAAGACTAATTTGGTTATTAAAGATACCATCAAGCTCAGCCAGGAAGACATTCATATGTTGTTTATCAGTGTCAGGAGACGCAAAGTGAACAATCACACCAGCGGATATATCTTGCTTTTCACTGAGGAAAAAATAATAATGGGGTCCCTTAGCAATTAGGTCATTTGTTACAGATCCTTATGAATTATAGTCCTAATGGTGTAAGAAGAATCAAACTAGTGATTAAGTCTGGTTCACATGGTACAATCCCAAACACTATCATCAATTAAATAACATAAGTTCTCAACACACAACCCACCCCAGAAATATCAACCTGCATATGTTTATGGAACACAGGGCAACTTATTAAAAAAGAAACATAAAAAAGAAACAAGGCTAATCACATTCCAAAGAAAACAAGTGGTTCAAAATTGCACACACAGCAACATCCCAACTGACAGAATGCCTAGACAGCTTTAGACATAAACAACTTCAAATAACAACAAAGAGTCAGTTCTCACAACTTAAGTAATCATAAAAAGGGATCACCTTAAGAACAATCAGAGGATAAAGGCCCATGATTGCAACCCATCTCAAGAATGCAAATTATGGTGCAATGGACTCAGTTAATGAGCATTGAGGGATAATTTTAACGATACTGGTCAATAAAAAATTTATGCTAATGCAGCATTTTGTACCATCTTATCATGAATTTTGAAGTACCTAAAAACCAACTTAGAAATACTAAATGAAAACATAACAGAAACAACAAATATACCTGCCACTGGGAGGAGGCCAGGAGTACCCTCGGCCTAATGGACCTAACATATGCATAAGCATCATGGGGAGTCATCTGCTTGTGTTCCACCTGTTTTGAAGGAGAATGTCAGCCAATATCAACTTTGGCAAGATCAACTGGTAGTAGATCTAGGCTTTGCATTATAATGCATACCAGGTAACAGAGAACAATGGTTGTACTGCGCCCTCGACCAGCCTTACAATGAACATATGTCATCTTCCCACGAGACGCATTCTCTTCACAATTTGAGATCATGAGAGTTAACATATATTAAAGAAAAAATACAAATGAATTGAAGTAACAAAAAGACAATGACTATACACATAAAAGATGAGGAACATTTACCCAACCACACACTGTATCCCATAGGCAGAAAAGGAAATCTGCTCTTCAATAACCTAATCAACTGTTAATATTTTGGTAACAACGAAATCAAACAGCATTGGTAGAATGGCAATTAACTTCTTTGGTTCTCCAGAAGGGTGACTAAGTGCAATGACATTGGATGGAGATTATTAAAATTGCAGAGATAGTTAGTATGTGATGAACAATACTTGATTACTACCTCCTGAGCAACACTGTGTAATTAGAAGCCAAAATGATATTTTTCAAACTCCTCAGTCTCAAACTAGCATTATATACAATGTTGCTAAGTCAAAATACTATACATATTGATGCTCCAGTATCACAAACTACCCAGTAATGTAAACAAACAGCCTTGTGCAACAAAAATTTTTTTGCATGTGGGAAAACAAGACTCTTTGAAATCAAATAAAACAAAGATTCAAAAGTGCAATTTGATTTATTTTCACATATATAATAAAAAGAAAAGAAAAGAAAAGAAAAACTAAAAGGTCATCTTACAAGCCCAAATCTGCAAGGGGCTTAGTCATTTATCTACTTAATGCAGCATGCTCCAAAAGGAAAAATGAGAAGAAATAATTACCATGGATGAAGTCTGCGGCTTGACAAATATCACCATAAGATGGAGCAAAAAGATAATCTCTAGTAGGAATCACCAAATGGTCAATGTTGTGGGCCTGCAAAAAATATGAAAAATTGCTTGAACTTGATAAGCACATCCGGATTTCGATGAATGAACAATATATGTTGCATAAAATGGCATTTGAAAATGGGTTATGCCTGCTCCTATTAACTAACAGTCCAAAAAATTTAGTAGTATAATTTACTGAGGACATGTAAAACCTAGGACTAGCAGCTTTAACATCACTAGGATATGGTTTGGGTTAGACCTCTCCCCTTGTCCCCCTTCCTAAAAACACCATCTTAAACAACTTAGATACCCCTTCCAAAATCAATACTTCCATCTCTCTCTCTCTCTCTCTCTCTCTCTCTCTCTTTGTGTGCGCGCATACAGGGTCTTTGGGTAACAGCTGCTCAAGTTTTTTATTCACAACTGTACATTGCAACATTAACATGACATTTTAAAAGAATTTTAGAAACAAAGGTAAGAGCTACATAATCAAAATTCAGAAAAGAAATACACTCACATTATACAGTGATGTTGAGACCAAAGTCTCATATGGTTCATTCAGCGTAACCACTCCAGAAACACCAAGCTCCTTCAGGCGGGGAACATCAGCAGGAAATGGAACAGCACCCAAAAATATAAACTGACAACTGGAAATAGTTAGATAGCAGGAGAGACATCTCAAATTCACTAAATCAATAGCTTCCACACACAGATCAAAAAATTCAATGGATATTAACTTATTATCATCAGTAAATGAAAGAACCATACTATTAAAAAATGAAAGAAAAAAAAATTTCTTATACTAAAGTCAGTCTCCAACAAAGTTGTTTACGCATGTGCATCAATAATATATATATATATATATATATATTAGAAAAACAGTTTTGCAAGCAAGACATGCTCTTGATCGTACATGCAAGCTGGGATTAAATGGTGGAAAAGAATGGAGTTATAGAAAATCTCAAAAGGTTGCAAAGTTTCCTCTTTCCAAGATACACTCAGTTTCTGTACATTCAAATAGAATTAATGTCACTATATTATGAAATAAAACCAAACCATAATATGGAAAATCTAGTAACAATGAAGTTCACCAAATATATAAATTCTCTACTAGGAGAACCATAGATAAACTCAGAAATATATTCTCTAGATGAGGACTAGTTTCTTGAAAATTTACCACCAAATACATAACCAATAAGAACTAGAATCACTCAAAAATGGGATTCAGTTTCTCAACTGAAAGACATTAGTCAAATTCAAACATTTACAACTCCCGAAAGCCAGCCCATCCCCACATATAAAAATTAACAATCGATTCTAAATGACAACTCAATAATGGTCAATCTCTATTAAAGATTAAGAAAGCATAAGACGCCAAAGCATAAAACATAGATAACATATGGACATGTGACTCAAAATTAAGTAGCAAAGCAGGATCATCCCAAAAGTCAATATGTAGTTTACCTCATCGACCCTATCCCACCAGCGGAATTCAGATTGAATCTTGTTTCTCAATACATTATACAGCAACGTTGGATAGAAAAGGGCACGGGCCCCAGCTCCGACCAAAACCCGCTTTGCATCTGAAACAACTATGGCACCACGATCAACATTATCACTGACCTCCTTATTTTTCAAATCCCCCGCCTCGTCCAATACCTCAATATACATGTCTCCGATAAGCCTCACCAATTCAACCAAATTAATAACTACCTTTAATCCTAACCTTCAAAACCTCAAATCGAACTACTATCGATCCAGACTGCAATCTAACCACCAAATTCAAAATCAAAGTTGGAACAAAGAATCAGTACGCCAAAAGCATCTGAACAAAACCAACAGCATAACAGCCCGTTTATATCAACACCGGAAATACCTCAAATCAACCCAGAAACAAATAGAATTTGGGAAAACCCCCGCCAATCCACGTTTAAGGTTTCACCCAGACAATAAACATTAAAATTATGAAACCAAATTCTAGCAAAACAACCGACGTTCTTCAGTTCTAACTTTCAAAACCTAGCCATAGGACAATAAACACAGTAATTCACAATTGAAAACCACAAACCCCCCGACCACCTCAAATCAACATTAGATAAGCACTACAACTACATCGATTCGTACACCAAATTGAACACCAAAACTTGGAAAACACATGCAACCCACGAACACACACACAGCTCAATTCCATAGGAGGAAAGGGAGAAAAAAATAGATACAGTCAAGCCCTAGCTTTGGTGAGTGAGGGAGATCCCTCAAACGACAAGCAATGCTAGCCGATCAGTCGAATCCAAGCAATTAAATTGCCCTCTTGCCCAATTTCTTGCAGAGTAAGAGAAGACACCCGCTTTCTCTCTCTCTCCACCAGATTTCCCTCTCTAGCTTTCTCTGTCCACCAACAAACTTTTGGAGAAGTAACGCCGGTTCCAGAAGAAGTTTTTTGATTCGGCGTGGAACCGGCATTAATTGCAATTGGAAAGGAAAAAAATTAAAAAAAAAATTGTTTTTCAAATAAAAAATGTAGTTATATATAATTAAAAAATTAAGTCATTATCCAAAAAATTTGCTACATTCTCTCTCGAGCCATATGCTTTGATTTAATTATTATAATATAATTAAATAGAAAATTAAATTTATTTTGTAATTAAATCAAAAGTAAAAATGAAATAAATGGAATTTAATATAGTCTAATTATGTTATTTAATACTACTAATTAACATCTTCCAAATAAAGTATTGAAGAAAAACTATTAAGACAGATTATATTAGATAAGCAATATCTAATTAAAATTAATTGAACTAATTGTGGGCAAAATCGTAAAAGAACAAAAAGAATAACTGCCCTGAATTATAGGAAAAGGCGGGGAGAAAGTTGTAATTCAACAATGCTGTCTGGTGTAATAATAATAAAATAAAAAAACAAAATGAAATTGATTTGTCTAACGTTTTGAATTTGACAGTTTAAATTAGGTCACAACTTCTTTTTTTTAAAAAAAAAAATTGACTCATAAATAAGAAATCAAATAAAAAAATTCCATAAATAATGAAGATGATTGTTTGATAGGAGTAATTAATGGCATTTAACAAATTTCTATTTTTATTTTTTTTATATCTAGGTTTTTCTTAAGGATAAAAATAGGAGAATAAAAGTAGAATATGCCACGTGAGAATTTAATTACGTGTATGCTACCTGCACTGCTGTTGAAGGAAGGGGTTGTATGGATATTGCAATGCTTTGCTTTATTCTAACTTTTGCTTTTTATCTTACATAAAGTAAGATCCAGATATATTACTTGAATGGTGATTTAAATTGTCATTTAATTTTTAATTAATTACTGAGAAATTATCATTTTACTTAATGACTTTATTTTCCATCATAAATTAAAATTTAAAAATTATCAATTTAAAATTTAGAAAAAACTATTGTTTTGATATATAAATGATTCCCTTTTTATCAATTTAGTACCTCAAATTTTTGTTAATCAACTTAGTATATCAATTTTTAAACAATACAAACTTTAGTGTATTTCTGAATCTGAATTAATAATTAACTAATAGTTAATCTAATGTTTAAACGATAAATAATTTAATTGTATGTCAATGAAATACCGTCATTTTAATATATAAAATATTGACTTTTTATCAATTTTTAAACGCTGTCAAGTTGTTTGTTATTTAAACATTTTGTTTGTATAAATTAGATTAATTATTAATTAATTTTAATAAAAATAGATGAATGCACTAAATTTTATATAATAATTAATGCATTAAATTGATTAAAAAATATTATTTATATATCAAAATAATAATTTTTAAAAAATATTATTCATTTACAATCTTTTTCAGGGGATGGACGAAGGGACATATGGTGGGATCTAAATAAATTGACAAGCCAGGCCATATTCACTTGCCTTGAGGACCCCTACTCCCCTAATCAGGATAATGGTCGGCACAAGAAAACAAAACTTGATCGCCCACTTAATCAATTGAGTGGATAAAGATACTATTATAATTGTTATTCTCAAGGAAATTAAAAATATAATATTGATTAATTAGAAATGTTGTTATTTAATTGTGTAATAATAACTATTGTGTGGTAAAAATATTGATAATTTGTGGTGACACATTATAAGTTGTCATTATTATATAATATGAGTGTGTCATGAGACTATCCTTTTTTTCTTTTTTTAAAGATGTATCTATTCAAACGAGTGGTGCCATAATTTCTCCTCATTTAACGTGGGATCAATGATATTTTTTTATTTTAATTTTTGATGCCTTTTTAAAATAAGGTTAAAAAATGCATCTATTCAAGTCTAATAGTGCTACCATTTCTTCTTATTTAATGTGGGATCAATGACATTTTTTACTATTTCAATTCTTGGTGTGTTTTTTAAGATAAGGTTTATAGTCTCTTACCACTATTTATTTTATTTGAGACACTTGAAGTGATTCACACTGTCACTAAATTAGTCTCTAAGAGTTGGCTCTCGTACAATTTGTTACAAAACTATTATCTTCTCTTCAAAAACTATATCTATTAAACTGTGCATCATCAGCATTTATATCCCAATTTGCCCATTTTTCCTTACGATGTGGGATTTGTGACAAATGAGGAAATGATAGAACTTATTTATGAAAAATGTGCGTAATATTAAAATGTTTTTATTTTTAATTATAATTTGAATTATTTTCTTCATGAAAAATCTTAAAAAGAAAAAAAGTTCCGCACAACTTAATTATGCAAGGTAGTAGCAAATAATTATTATTTAGGGTTCATTTAGAGAGATGATTTAAAAACAAAAGTATTTTTAAGATATATATTTTAGAGATTTTTTTGAAAAATAAAAATTATTTTTTATTTGGATAAAATTATGAGAAGTACTTTTTACTTAAAAAATACTTTGAATTGTTCTTCAAAAATTATTTATATTAATTTTGAAAATATCAAAAATCTGATTTTTTTAATTTTTGAAAGTTTATTCAAATATTTCAAAATATTGTAGAAATGTTTATAATAAATAATATTTTTTTATTAAAAAAACTTAAACAAACCCACTCTTATTAGGGAATACAAAGATCTGCTTCTTCTATCCGTCCACTTTCACAAGTCAAAAGTAGAATTAATTAAATTTTAGCTTTTAAAAAATTGATTTATTAGACTAATTCAGTCTTATTTATTTTAATAAGTCATATGCAAATCCTCATTTTCGCTTACCTCACACCACACCTAATTCTCCCGTCATGTTGTTTATTGTTGTGTCCGCTATATCAAGAAATTTTTAAATAAATGATTTTTTTTTTTAAAAAAAAAAAAAAACCAGTTAGCTTCAAGGTAACTTGGCAAGGAAGCTTGTGTAATCATAATCTGAGTACTCTTGTCAAGTTTTCTTCCAATAGGACGCGATGGCAAGCTTGTCCCTGCTCAAGTTGCAAAAGCTGCAACAAGGATACTTCTGGTTGTTGGGTTCTTTTAGAATTTGTTTCTAAAAACAGTCTCTTGAGTTTCGGAAGCAACGTGTTGTTTTTGACAACTATCTTCCACAGACACTTTAAAAAATAAAAGGGTTGTTCTCAAATTTCCCAAAGATTATATTTTCTTGCAAATGAAAGTAATAAGAATACGATAGAGTTGTCAAGTATTTTAGTATTTTCCTGTTAATTTCAAAAACAATTAGAAACAATAATATGTACAAGTCCGAACATATCTGCTCTTGTAGCTTCCTTAACCAAGGTTTGCTGCTCAATTTGAATTCTCTCCCTAGACATTCCTCTCTCTACAAGTATACCAATTCATCTATATATAAATATAAGCACCCATAACTAAACCGTGCAATGCTTTTACACTTCGAAACATGAAGGGTTACAACTGCAGATCGAGCACACGTACATGGCCTACAAACCTTTCCCAACTTCAGAAACACAAACAAGCACACCTAATTCCCACACAACTCCCGTTCTAGTTCCCTCTACACCCCTTTCCTTTAAGATCCAGCGACTTCTAGTCTAACCAAATTATTAAACTTCATTTATAAGTTGCTTAAAAGGTGTTTTAAAGTCATTTATTGTTGAATATAAGATAAGATGTCACAATAATTTGTACAGAAGTAATCGATTATTACACTCACCCACCGTGAGGCATGGTTGTATTTACTGTCATTGGGGGCACGGTTGGCCCGCTGTTCTCCCCCTTTCGGGCACGCATCTGGGCTGTTAACGGAGGGAAAAAGGCGGTGTCCATCGCTTATTGATCCACCAAGGCGTCCATAAATTTGAAAACTAGGATTGCTTTAATCGTTGTTGCTGGTACCAGACTCCTTGTTGCTCGATGTATGCTCACCATCTTCATTTACTTTATCTTCATCCCGATTCCCAAGATCGTTTGCATCGCCTGTAAGTACACGGTCCTCCCCGGAGGGTCTCCTTGCTTTGGCTTGCAATGCAGGAACTAAAACTAGGGTTACCAAGAGTAGTACCAAGTTTATCTTAACCATGATAAAGTTGAAGCTAAACCTAACACATAAGCTTAGTTACTTAGCTATTCAGCTATAGAAATGGTTCAAAACAAAAGTAAGAATATGGTTGGAATTAATACTTACGTTTTGGATTGATTTCTTGGTGGGAAGAACTGATATGGAAGAAGGGCTTAAAAGGGTTGCATTTTATAGAGGA